GTTGGGATGTGGATCCATCAAAAAGACCAACTAGTGAAGAGCTTTGGACATTTGCTGAAAATAAATATGACGAAATTTTTAAAAAAGAAAGTTTGAAAAACAATATTAATAATAATAGTTTAATAAAAAGATTATTCAAATTTCCTAAAATTAACAATCATGATAGCAGCAGCAGTGGTGGTAATAGTGATTCGCAACAAGTACACGAATCACATCCAGATGCATATCATACAAGTAGAATCTTGGATGAAGAGATTGCTAAATCAAAAAGCTTGAAAATTTATACAAGTAATGACAGTTCGTTAAATAATCTTGATTTTAACTCTCTTCTCTTAAATGTTGAAGGTGAATAAAAATTTCATTATTAATTAGTTAGAAATTACTATCCATTAATTAATACTAACAATATTTTTTATTTACATTTAATTGCATTGGGTTCTAATAATTAAAAGAAGGAATTGATGAATGACTAATTTAATCTCCACTATAAATTATTTTTTATAATTATTTGTCTTTTTATTTTATCTTTTTTAAAGCTAAATTATAATAATGTTTTGAAATAATAAACTTTTTGATTCTTGTTAAATGGTGGTATTGTATCATTTCAGTTGATTAACAATTATGGCTTAGCTTTTGACTACTCTTGGTGCTTGTCAATTAATTAGTTTACAAATTTACATTGGATCCCTCTTTCTTGCACCTAGACGAATCTATGAGCATACCAGATAACTGTAAATAAATAAAGATGGCCTTTAAAAGGCTCAAAGGCTTCTATAAAGTTCCTTTTATTCATTTGTGATCAATTTATTCGTTTACATTTATTTAGCCGATTGCAAACTCGTTTTGGTTTACTTGCAAAGCGACTTAAGTAGCTTGTTTAACAGCCTTATGTTTAAGATTACAATAACACCACCTTATCAATATTAATCAAAAAATGTTGTACGAAAAATCATTTGTTACACTCACTCCACAAAGAAAAATTCTCACGTCGAATTTTACATTTTATATTTTATATAATGTCATATAATAAATTATTATCATCGTTATCACTAGAAAGAAAGAAATTCGTATTTAAAATTAATAATGAAATACATAATAATGCAAAGGTCAACTCTGATAGAGAAAGTAGAAAAGATTATATTTTTTCATTAGTCAAGAAAAACAAGGAGCTTTCTGAAAATGAAAAAGAATATTGTAAGGAATATTTTATTTATCAGGTTGAATTAAGAAATGCAAAAGATAAATCAGGCAAACCTAAAGAATGTAACAAGTGTAAATTGACAAGATACTCTGATAGATTCTGTGAAGGTTGTATCAGCTTACAATTACAGAGTCTTTTCACCACTTGGACATCTGGAAATAACATAATTGACAACTTTATTCAACAATGTCAAATGAAATCTTCTCTGCCAAACTATATTTTAGAATGGATACCTTTTGAGCAATTTTATAATATAACAAAGTTGACAGAAGGTGGATTTAGTTCAATTTATACTGCTACATGGACAAGAGGAAGAATAGTTGATTATGACGAAAATAAAAAAGAATTTGGTTATTTAGGAGGAGGGTTCGGTGTAGTATTAAAAAGTTTAAATAATTCAAATAATCCAGGAAAAAGCTTTTTTGATGAGGTTGGTAGTTGTCATTTAAAACAAAATAAACAATACTGTATTATACAATACTAATTGATTTTATTTATTTTCAGGCAATGAATTATTGTAAAATTAAAGCACCACTGATTGTTCAGTGTTATGGTATAACTAAATTCCCAGATAATGGAAATTATGCAATAGTTTTAAATTATTTATCAGATGGAAATTTAAGGGGTTATTTACAAAAAAGTCATTTAACATTAAAAGACAGAATTACTATATTTCATTATTTGTGTTGGGCATTATATAGTATACATCAGAAGGATTTAATCCATTGTGATTTACATAGTGGTATATACTTGTGCAAGGAGTTTGTTGTTATATTACAGATTTAGGATTATGTGGACCAGTTGATGAAAAGTCATCAAATAAAGTCTATGGAATTGTAT